TAGTCCTTCATTTACAAGGACTTGATCTGGCCGCTCATTTTGCGATTTTGAGGGCCGAGTGTGAGTATGCGCCAAGCTTTCACACTTGGCGGCTATGGCCACCCTACTTACTCCCTATCTTCCTCTAGCCTACCTATGGAGTAACTCTCGAGCACCCTCTTCCTCTTCCTGGCGCGAAGTACCCAAGTCGCCTTAACGCACAAGCAGCAGCAGCGCTTCCACATCTTGCAAAATGAACAAGCGATGAGCCGCTGCACTGTAGCAGCTAAATATAGGACTTTACTTGGCTTGGCCTGCTTCAGACCGGTACCGGTCGGCCACGGTCCGTCTGCTGCAAACATTTTGTGGGTCCGGTAGCTTCCGGACTTTCCTGGGACATGCTGCAAAATTGGACTTGGGACTGTTGGACTGGGCTGGACTGGACTTTTTTTGTCGGGTACCGGACGGATTTCTACCGACCTACGGCGTTTCGGTACCGACTCTTACCGACCTATGACGCTTCAGCGTATGTTCCCTACGGCCTAGCCTACCGGGACAGCCTGGGACTGGGAATTTTTGGGACCCTGGGACTGGGACTGGGGTGTCTGCAGCGTGAATCCTTTCAATAACTTAGTTTTTTCTCGGATTGTTTGCAATTTTTTTTTATTTTTTTTTTTGCTCGACCTTCCTGGGGTCCTTACATGGCCAGGCTGCCAGGGCAAACAAGGTGAAGCAGGTGGTGCGGCTGGTAGGCCAGGTTCAATTGCTTTTTGTGTGGTCGTTCTGCTGTTTTTGATAGACTGGTTTGACCGGGGAAAAAAAATAAAAATAAAATTGGTTCTTTTTTGGACCCAAAGCCGCTGCAGTGGCAATGTTCAAATATAAGGAAAACAGCCCAACAGAAAAAAAGGAAAAAACAAAGAAAAACAAAAGTTTAGGAAACCCTGAATATGGTTTCTTAACTTTATTTGCAGAGTACATTTTTCATATAACAGAAGGACGGCAGATTGGCCAACGGAAATCAGGGACCCTGTTAACCACAAGTACACTAATGGTTAATACGTGGTGTTATTTTCAGCGAAAGTTTCACCGAAACTGCCATATTTCCCTGAATTTTTGCTTTTTTTTCTGTTTTTTTCTTTTGTGTGATATGTATGTGCATTATGGTACATCTGTTTTCAGCTTCTGCATGGGTCCTGGGGACCATCTCACGCAAGTGTGTACATGCCATGCATCGTACTCCCACACACAATGAACAGTAGTCTGACAATAGACAAAGATAGAGAAGATGAGGACCGAGTTTCACAGTTTATATTATCAGAAATATGAATA